ATAAAATATGACTTTCTTGAAATTTTATTTCGTAGAATCTATTTGCCCATTTGATTGATTTGTTCGAATTTCGTAATGTAAAATAAATAGTTTGAATTGTAATAATTTGTAATCCTTACAATTAAAAATCTTTTCGACCATTATGAAATAAAATAATAAATAATTATTAAAAATATCATTAGATAATTGAGTTTTCTAATTGTGCGCAAAATATTTTTGACTCACTTAAAAGTTTTGAGGAAGCAACGAAATACACAAAAATGGAAATTAACTTTAAGGTATTCAAACTTTTGACTGCTCTCCTGACTGATAGTTTCCGAATTGCGGATATCCCCCCCCCTTTTATTTTGATGGTCAAGAATTAAAATCTATCATATCTTTTATATGGTAGATTTTAATGATTGATGTTAATACGGAATTTGTAATGATTGACGTTTGTAAATGTAACGATTGGTGTTTATACAGAAAAAGAAAGTTTTGTGTTCTCTCTCTTAATTTAATAAGTATTACTCATTAATCTGCACATTTGAGGTCAGTCCTGGCTGGCACTTAAGACTGGCACTTAGTGCGGGAAAATCCGCTCTTTTGAACAAAAGTTATTCACGATGATATTGTTTTTCTTTTTAATGTGTGTATTAAACACTGTTGTTTCCAAAATTTTACAATAACTTTTTTTTTTTTACAATTTCATCAAACTTTCTAATCTTTGATCCACGTCGTACAAATGAGAGTTATTTTTATCTGTCTCGGTGCGTGTCGTATACAATCCATTAACGCATGCTTTGTTTTTGTTGACGTTTGTTATCATTTTTTTTTCCTTCTATTGACCAAAACAAACTTTGGAACACGCTTGTAAGAGCAAGAAATTGATAAGACCCGTAAATGTTTCTAGAAACGATTAAGATGACATCATTCAAAAGAAAAAATAATGCATCGAGGAATCTGAATTTAGTTAAACAGTATATTTAGGATCAGTTAAAGGTATAAAAACGTGGAAGAGCATCGATGTTGATTTACGAGATAATTGAAGAACTGAGTGTTAATGTTCTGATTGCCATTATAATGCATTTGAGTACAATCAGAATAATAATAGAGTTAATCTTAATGTGTAGACCAGTACTGTAGACCAGTACTTAAACTGTAGACCAGTATCAATTGAAGGTTTAAATACATGAGATTCTGGAAGAACATTAGTGTTGGAATAATGGGTAATTAAGAAGTGGATAAATGTTCTAAATGACATTTTGATAAATTAAACAAATTAGTTAACCTGATTAATAGAATAATCTGAATGTAGTGTGACTGTAGACTAGGATCAATTAAAGATTAAAAAACACGAGATCCTGGAGAGGTGTTGGAGGCAATGGAAGCGTTGAGTGGATGAATAACACTTTGATGAATTAAAGCAAATTAGTTAACCTGATTAATAGAGTTAATCTGAATATAGTGTAATTGTAAACTAGGATCAATTAAAGGTATAAAAACATGAGACTGTGGAAGAAAATAGGTATAAGAGACAGTTGTAGAGCTGATTAAATGAATATATTCTGAATGACATTTTAATGAATTTTAGCAAATTCGTTACGCTGATTAATAATTGAATTAATCTGAATATAGTGTCATTGTAGACTATGAACAATTATAGGTTTAAAAACATGGACGAACATAGTGTGGGTATAAGAGATAATTGAAGAGATGATTGGATGAGTGTTCTAAATGGACAGTTGTAAATGGTGTATGTCCGAAATATTTGTTATATCCTATTTGATATTAATTTATTCGTTGATATTATTATATGTATTCGATATTTTAATATCTGCTGAGGATAAATTAGGAGAAACAACAGTATTCGGAGTGCCTGTTAAATGCGCACTGGGCACTTGACCTTTAAAAAAACATTAGTGTAGGGCATATCGGGCAAATGTATACCGGGCAGTGGCGTTTAACTAGACCTAGAATATATTTCGGACATTTACCAAAGCGACTCTATCAACATTCACCGGTGAAAGTTAACAACCAACAATTTCGGCCATTCTACGTTAACTTATATAAAACAAATTGTTAGGTATATAATTTGAATGGAATATTTATAAGTCAATTGCTTCACAGGATTGCATATTTTTAGAACACAAAAAGAATACTATAATTTAAGGTGATAACCAGCAAATCTAGACAAATATACATTAATGTCTAATCAATACATAAATATCCAATGAACTAGCTAAAGGAGCTAGTTTTACAAAGCAATGCGGAGGGAACTGTGAACACACTTCTTTTCGGATTGTTCCATTGGTACTGGAGTAGTAGAGCCTTCTAGTTGCTTAAAAATTATTTTAATCGGAGTAACACACTCTATCTATAGTTAGTATCTAGCAGTCGCATGTCGCTTTCATGTTCGTATGTTCTCATATGTTTGTTTTGGGAATAAATTTATCCTTATTATATCAATACATAGCATGAGCGATAAAATTGCATTGGAATTTCGTAATCTAGTCTGTCACGCCTGCATTAAAATAATCCATAAATTCTAATATATTCTGTTCAATTCAGAGAAAGCACTTTGTAAATCAAGCTTTGCATTGAGTACAAAGATTTATGCATGAATGAAATGAAGAATAAATTCATAAGCGAAAAGCTTGAAGATTCTCGGATTAAATATGAATTGTAATGTACTCCTTTCAGTGCACATTTTTTCTTGAGATTTTTAACGAGTAATGTTTGTAAACTCTCAGTCAAAACTATTTATTCTCTAAACAAGACTTAGGCTAGGGGAATCTAAATATAAAATTATGGACTGTAAAAGTCACAGGTTCGTGTCTCATTTGTTTAGTGAAAAACTAAATAGCAAAACTAATATCGCATTATATTACATTTTCATAAATGCGGCCGAGTACATGCTTAAGTCAACTCTTTGTCAAGATGAAACAAAGCACAACTTACATAAGAAGGAAAATAAAAAAATAAAAAATACCCAGAGTTTAGGTGTGATTCGAACCTACTGACTCTAATGTTTTACTAGTATTGACAAAATACGGATGACTGGCACCTACTGAGATTCCTGTTATGATTTTGTTTAAAATTGAAGGGCTCGAACAATATAATAACAACCCGCACTTTGAAAATGTACAGAAAAGCGTTATTATGAGAGATTGAGGTGAAAAATACTAAGATTCCTATGCACACAATAAACTGACTATGAACAGGCATTAAGTTTCTTCAGTATGGGAATTCTATGAATTTTTTAATGCACCCATCTGAAAACAATACTATGGAAAATTTTGATGAAAAAATTTTACTTTTGATGAAAGTGTAGCTTATATCACCCCATGCACTTGTGTGCCATTTGTTCTCACCCAGGGTGGTTCTTCGGTGAATTGGGAGCTGCTATGTAGTTAAAATTCCAGAAACTTGCAAAGTTCCTAGTTGGAAACTTCACTATACAATTTGAAGTGAGCATGTGACCTTTGAAAAAATTGCGGTTTGTATTGCTCCAGTTGTGCGCGATTTGTCTGTAAGCGCTTGGGATAGGATCAAAATTGTGATGGCATGTCCTCGTATCGTCCTCCGGGATGTTTCCCAGACCGTCGCCAATAGCCCATTGTGCTACTCTAGTGCGACGTAAATGAACTACAACAACATTGGATTGAATTTTGGGATTTTCATTGCCTTGGGCACGAATCTGTCATGTCGTGGATAATCATTAGGTTACCTGGGCCAGTAACATTGAACTATAATCTGTTTGTTTTAGTGTTTTGTAGAAGGAACGGCTTGCAAGCCCGATTCAAAATTTGATTCTTCTGATTTCTCAGCGTTATAATGATTGTCCATACATAAATAATAAAAAAACTAAAGATTAGCCCCTTGAGGACCGCGATAATATAAACGTGATCGTGCGATTCTCACTTTACGATTCATGGTATCCTATATAAAATGAGCTTTTCTGATTCCACCGGCCCAAGATCAACGGTCGTCATCTCAAAACAGTACCCTCGTTTCACATCTCGTAATAGTACGCATCTTCAGTACATATAAACTCGGACTTTGTGAAGCGCTTCTTTCGTTTTTCGTCCGTCCTCAGGGGGTTAATAAAAAATACCGAATTGTTTTAACGAATTATCGTTTACTAAAACTCAAGTCCCACAGTGGACTGATCGTAAAGACACGGTTTCCAGTTAGAGCACCGAAGTCAAGCATCACTGCGGTCAGTAAGCGGGTGGGTGAACGCTTTGATCAATTTGCGATGGGACCGAGGGTGTCTGGTATTGATCTTCGTTATACTGTTCTATCATAAAGTACACGACTGTAAGAGCAGATCTTCAGATTACCGAAACGGGGTTGCCATCCCCTCTGCAGAGGATCAAAATTGTGATAGCATGTCCTCGGATCAACTTCAGGGATGTTTCCCAGACCGTCACCAATAGCCATTGTGCAGCTCTAGTGTAGTTAGGTAGTAACTTTATTAACGTCGCACTAGAGCTGCACACTGAGCTATGGGTGATGGTCTGGGAAACATCCCTGAAGTTGATCCGAGCACATGCCATCACGATTTTGATCCTCTGCAGAGCGGATGGCTCCCTTGATTTTGTACCCCGATGATTTGTGCGTGAAGTCGAGCACGCTACGGTTCAACAATTTAACGCGGACCGATACCGCGCATCTTCGGTCCCTACTCAGGCTGATCGAAGTGGTCACCCACTCACTCACTGACCACAGTCAGTGATGCTTGACTTCGGTGTTATATTGTGAACCGGGTCTCTTTACGATCACCCCACTGCGGAACGCTCTAGTATGAAAACAATTAAAATTTTAAATATTCGTCGCACTCGCACTTATCCGATTTTATCATGATTAATAAACAATAATAATAATAATAATAAAAAAAGATAATAAGTTTAATTCGAAATCACTTTTCACGCGACATCAAAGTTTTCGAAGAAATCGTGACCTTGGCAATGTCATTATGGAATTTAAATCGCCGTATTACATTTTCAAGTTCAAAAGAAAAGAAAAAAGAAGAAGAAGAAGAAAAAAAAGAGTTCAATTCGTGTGACGTCATACCCATGTATTATATTTTCCTCTATGGGTTCTTACCAGTCGCGAACATAGAGAGAGAGAGAGTGCTCTGAAATATTTTGTGAGTCAGTTTGCAAGGAAACGGACGCTCGCTTTCTGACAGCCGACGGATCACGTGGTTTGAAGGGGGGAAGTTGCCGATTAATCTTAGCGCTTTCAAACAACATTTATTATTAGTGAGTGAGAAAAATCGGAAATAAAAAACTTCCGTCCAGATTTTGATGATTCCGGCTTTAACTCGGACTACCGGACCTTTTCTCAAACAACCTCGCTCGATTATTATGTAAGTAATTAATTTGTTTTTAATTGCAAATGAATGCATGTTCAACAATGAATTTGTTTTTGCTATTTAATGAAATATAGTTTATTTCTATGGGAATTCTGATTTACATGTTATTGATAACAGTAGTTGATTGGCTTAAAAAAATCGAACTATTTCAGTTTGTAATTTATTGAAACTTTAGTTTGTTCCTTGTTTGTTTTATTGAAATTTTACTTTGCTCCTGTAAAAAAAAACATGATTAGCATGTTATTACACCATTAACGAATAAATGTATTAAAAATTTAACTAGTTGTATATAATTGAAATTTGTTTATCTGTTGAAAAACCCAATTATCATGAATAAAGCTAGTTCCATTTTTAATTTATTGAAAGGTTAGTTGTTCAGAAAATGTTTGCAATTTATTACGTTCGTCATAAAATTAAAGTACAAGCTGAAATCTGGATGAATTTAGTTATCATTTTATTAATAATGTAGAATTTTTGTTTATCGAAAAATTTGCGGGTTTTGTCAGTATTATAAATTGTGAAGTACAAATAAAACAATAAAAAAATAATAAATAGTTAAGTCAAATATCAATCGTGTACTTTTCATTTTAATTTTTTCAACCTAATTTCGGTCTATCTAATCTCAAAATTCCTACTCATTGATTAGATAAGTAATTAAGTGATTCGTGGGACTCTTTTATTTTCAATTTCAAAATTGTAATTAGATCTTAGTATATAATCACTATATACTTGAAATTTCTTTAATAATAAAATATAAGCATGTATTTCAATTATTAAGAAACAAATTATATTCTAACTAATATCCAAATTATTGTTCATTATTGATTTTGAAACTTTTAACTAATCCTCTTTTTTGTCCTCTTGTAACGTAAAACGTAATTAACCTTTTCTTTGAAGTAATATATTAAAAATTTTTTATCAAATTCAAAAATTTTCATTTAGTTATTCTACTGTAAACCGATGCTGTTTTTTGTATATTAGTATATTGTACCTCCCAAAGGTACAAGTAAAGAATTTTGTCAAAATTGGAAGTTCGAATAAGTTATTATACCGTAAACCAATGTATATTTCTTTATATGTACCTTAACAAAGGTAAACAATGTACCTTTGTTGCATAGAGAGCATAGTGCCTTTCAAAAGTGCACATGATGAATTTTGGAAAAATTGGAAATTTTACCAAAATTTGTTTTAAAATCATAAATTTTGTTAAAATTCTAATTTTCATAACAATTTTATACCGAAAATACGAACAATTAAGTAGTGAACCTAAAAGTTCTCTATGAAAAGAATTGTTTTTAGGTTATTATAACTTAAATAGATGCACTCCGTGTTTTTTTTTAAATACTAAATAGTACCTTCCTTAAAATTTTACACGATGAAGAGGAATTTTATTAAAATAATAAATTCTGGCAAGTTATCGTACCGATGTACTATATATTTTATCGTGCATTGAGATGAGTGCTTAAAAAACTTTAAAAATTATATAAAAATCAAGTTTAAGTTGTTATGATATAAATCAATACATTATATTTCATCGTATAGTAGTGCTCCTTAAAATTACCAAAAATTAAATAATTAGTTCCTGATGTTGATTCTGTATGTTGAAACTTGACACTTTAAATTTCATATAAAAAGGAAGTTAAGAAAGAAAGAAAGAAAAAGGAAGTTAAGAAAGGCTTAGTTTGGACCAAAACGTGGTTCAAACTAAGGTAAACAACGTTAAAGAGCACAAAAATATTAATTATGGTTATTATGTTTGTTTAAAGTTAAGTTTTAAAAATCCAGTCAAATTATTAATATATTTAAAGGTCGTGGTGAAAACACTCAAACCCCCCCCCTAACTCAGAAATTTTTAAATTTCGATAGGAAACTATTTTCTTGTTTATGCGGCCATCTGTCTATAACTTTAAGAGAATAAGGAGGCTTTGTTTATATAAATGTGGGTAAACAGTAAAGGTTAGCGTGGGGACAATAAGAGAAGCTGACACTGGGGAGCTATTCAAATATAAAGTTAAAGTTTATGACCCATTCTTTATATTAGATAAATTTTTGAAAAATCCTCTCTCTACCCCTTCCCTCAAAAATGATCTAAAAAATCAATTTAATTTCCGGTAATAAGCTAAATGAATTTCTTTTTATAATCAATCTTAATCCTAAAAATATTTTAACATAACCAGAAAACACCCCTATGTATTCCTTCGTTCCCTTGTTAGTAGCAAAAGTATTCACATAAAATGTTCGATGCTATCTTTTAATGGATTAAATGAAGATTAATAAGCTTCTCGATCGAAAAAGGAAAATATTTAAACTAAGAAACTGATTTAGGATTAAAGAATATTCTTCAATCTATAAATTGAAGCAGTAGGATTGAACGTATCGCAATTTTCACTTTTATCGCTATCGGCATTCTTGTGTGACATAAAAACTGAGTCACTTTCACCGGTAGTTGAGCAAATTATTCTTATTCATTGGAGTCGACCTTCTGAAACTAGTTTCTGAAAACAAAACGACTTTGAAAAAAAAGAACCAATTAATCGTGATTGGGATGATCTCTCTTCTCTCTCAAAACTGGATCTCTGTTTACAAAATAGAATTACAAAAAAAGAACACATTATAAACACATCCGTTGCGTTTTAACATACACAAAAGTATTCATTTAATATCTGTAAAAATATAGAAATTAACCAGGAAAAATGTTTTTTACGTTGGCTTCATTTCAACGTATTTTTAACCGCTTAATAATCTGATTTATTTTGGCGGAAGAATTGTTAATTCATTTCATTTCCAATTTTCTCGAAAATTTAAGGATTTTAAATAAAGAATAATGAAGAATCTTATTTTATTAACATTATTAAACCACTTAAAAATCTGCTAGAATACTCATCAAACCAGTTAATTTTATTTTACAAGAACATTTAAGAATAAATGTTTATTTTCCTGGAATAATTATTGAACTATTTAATAATAATTTAGCATTATCTTATTTCACTTCTATCACTTATTTCTTCACTTATCACTTGATTTTGCTTTACGATTTATTACCCTCTCAATAAATAGGTTTATTTTGTCTGAAGATTTATTAAACCACTTATTTGATTGCACGTCAGGGACAGATATTAAAAATTTTTGTGTGTGTATCTTTAAATAAGAATAATTTTTGTGTTAACAGTTAGTCAAACATATATAAAAAATATTCAGATTTACAAAAATGTTTGAGCATAAAGTGTTGATAATTAATACTTTTAATTATTTTGTGTACCTCACGTGAGGGGACAAAATAGGGGAATAGCCCATTTAATGATCAGAAGATTCAAATGAGGATATATACTTTGTGCTATTTATGAATAAAGGTAAACAACGTGAATAAACCATTGTTTTCAGTTTGTGTTTTACCATATTTCTATTTTATTCACGTTGTTTATGTTTTTCTTAATTAAAAGATTGACTTTAAGAAAGACTTTTCGTTCGCTTTTGTGAATATTTTTAATTTTTCTTTCTTCGTTATATTTGTTAAGGTTCTGGTTTTTGTTTTAACAAACTTTAGGCATTCAACATCACAATGTTATTTTTAAAAATACCGAACTATAATTTGGATTTTTTTTTTTAATTCAAAAACTTAGAGCAGCAAATTTAAACTAAAAAACTTTTTATTTCGGGTAGATAATTTAACTCTCTAAGCCTGTCTGAATTTATGAAATATACTTTTATTTCTTTGTTCAAATCTACGTAAAACCCAGCATGTTTACAAATGATTTTGACGCAGAAATGTTTTTAAAAATAGATGAAAATTGTACGATCTCTTAGAATAAATTACTTTTTAAACATACGAATTGAAAAATTGTTTAAAAAAATTGTTTTTTTTTGGGGGGGGGGCCTGGAATAAGAACTAGTATACGACGTGCTATGTATCCCATTTTGATTCTATGAGCTTTTAGTTTTATTTTGAGCTGTTCTTCCAACAACTGTAAATTTCTTTATTTTTTTACTTTTTTTTGCGACAATTTTCTAATAAAGTGTTTTTCTTATTAAATAACAAAGTAGAATCTCATCCGAATTGAATTTCAAGTAGAATACTGCAATTTTAGGTTCCAACAATATTTTTTAAACTTTAAATGAAAACGTTAACTAATACTTGAAGTAACCTTTATAATACCAAGTTTATATTTATTATTTCACTTTTGTGAGGTTATCTTAAAATCAAATCAAGTTATTAGAACTCGAAAACTTTTAAACTAACTAGAGTATACAAATCTCCACTGGAGTTCCTTTTGTTTCCAATTGTTATTTGACCACTACATACAGAATTTACCGCAAGACAAAATTTTGATTACTTTGAGTGAGCTCCAATTTTAGCGAGTGTTCTTTGCTATATGACAATAAAATTTTAAAGTTTCTTAACGTTGTATTTAGAAACTGTGTCACCAAGGAAAATGAAAAAGCCTTAGTTTAAGTGTCTTACACTTGAACTGCGCTGTATATATAATCCTCTGGGCTTTAGAACAGAGAAAAAACTGAAATATTTTAAGTTATTAAACTTTTTTTAAAAAAACATAGCGAATTAGGCGACATTTTTCCAACTTAAAGAAAATTATCAAAATTACTGCCTTATTCTTAGTTTTTGCAAATTTTGCAGCATTGAAGGAAGTTTTTAAACTTTAAAAAATTAGACCACAGACGCTTTTCATTTTTACAAAACTGTGTCTTTTCTCCGTATTGGAGTTTTGCTCCATTTTAAAAATAACCATAGACAGCGCTAGCTTTAGATAAGCTAAATTTGACCTAACTGTTATGAGTAACAGTTGAAAACTCACAGCAATTATAAAAACAGCTTATTATTCGCAAATATTCACCTATTTCGTAGTCATTTTGGACACATTATTGACAAAGGGAAACAGATTAGAAAACTGAGCTAGAGCTGTGAATGCAAGCTTTTTTGATAACAATAAAATAAATTTTCTGATTGTTATAACAATAATTTATACCGATATTATATC